TTTTGCGCTTCATCTACTGTTTCCCCACAGCTTTCCATATAAAAAATGATCAAGAACCGATTGAAGCGGTTTCATTTTTTCTTTTGCCTTGCGCTTTGAGGATTTTCAAGCACAGCGTGGCCCTGAGCCTGACGTGATCCAGGGAACGCAGAATTGCCTGAATAAGCACAAAATATTTAAAAGATGCTGTTGAGTCGGAGGTTTTTTTTGTGAGAAAATATGCCTCTTTCATTCTCACATCTTTGTTGGTGAAGCGTTTTCCATCTGCGGACTGATGGGAGTCAATTGCAGATGTCAAACGTGATAACTGGCAGTTCGCCGCGGATGCATACATACTGCTATCAAGAGACCAGACCGGGCTCAGGAAAAAAAAAAAAACGAATAAATAAAGGCATCTGAAAAGCAAGATCATCCTAATATCGGCGTGTGATTATTTCCCCTCCTAGCTGCCGCTGTTTATTCTCCCCTGTGAGGTTGCGGCCTTGCATCGCGGAAAAAGACGCCACTCAACAAGCTCATCTTCAGAATCTGTTTACCAGGACGCAGGGAGGCAAAGGGGGGAAGAAATCTGACTCACAGATTCGCCCTCATGTGTGTTCATGTCAACGTCTTCCTATCTGATTGTTTTGGCGTTCACATCTGAATGAGGCCGGGGAGTGTGAGGCAAACACGAAGGCTGCAGATGGTGCTCCGCTGAGAAAGTGAGCGGCGAAAGCGCTGCCACCAGACATGCTGTGGCTAATCAACGTGAGAACACAGTCAAGCCGAGCCCCGGTGTGCTGGCTGGGAACGGAGCAGACAGTGATAAAACAATGTGTTGGAAGCACCTGCACAATTTCCTGGACGCTCTGCTCTCTGCGGTCTTCTGGGTGGAACACTGTCTCAGCAAGACGAGTTTCATTACCGTTTCATTTCTCCTGCACAAGATTGTTTTTGCTCAGCGGCAGAGCTGCGAGCTTCAGACTCGATGTCGACTCGGGGCCGCAATTACCGCTCGAAACAAGAATTAAGAACATTTGACGGGTATAACTTTAACAAAGACAGTATTGGTGCTCGTATTAAAAGCAGCCGCTCATTTCCTTCTTCTTCTTCTTTGCAGCCGGTTCCATCGGACGCCCATGTGGCTGCACACACCCTTACTGTTGAAGTCAGACTTCCCCACATCCTCCTGCAGCACCTCTGGTTCTGCTAATCGCTTCATCCATGACTGATTTATTTCAACATAACTGAGTATTACCTCATGCAAATCCCACATGTGTACACCTGCACGTACTGCTTTATATTCTGCATCTTCTCTGGGTGTCGATTTAACCGAGAACTCGTGACTTTTTCAAGTTTCTGTTGCTTTTTAACGACTCTAAATGTAATTAGACTGGAAAAACAAGCTTTAAGTAGTTCAACAGAGGAGCACAAACGCCGCAGATCCTGCATCTAACACACCGGACGCAGCAGAAGTGTGACTGAAAACTCAGGACGAGGTCTGAAGGTGTTCATGTGCTGAATTCATGTGTTCTACAGTTTTACAAGACTGGTAGAAAATCTCCACATTTAAGACAATAAGAGGGCTGTGCACAATTCTACATGGAGAAGAACACCGTGCAAGATCAGAAAACTCTGTGTAACATCCATGTTTTCCACATTATGAGGATTATCCGGTGAGGAGTTGCTCGAGTTTGGATGTGAGTGATGAGTCAAACGTGGGGAAGGTAACATGCTAACATGCTAACATGCGTCTCGGCGTCCCACTCGCTGCTCTTCAGATTCATGTTTAGATTCACTGAACGCTCACAGCCTGTATGTCTGCTGTGTGAACAATCAGCCCTTAAACCAACAAGATCCGAGAAGGAATAAACAATTCATCCTTCATATATGAACACTTTCTACCAAAATAATCATCTGCATATGATGAAGATTTTCTACACATAGAAGAACACACAGCGCAATACGGTCAGTTTGTGTGTGAAAGACTGCACAATTTTTAATTACTATTATTAATTATTAGGATTATTTATTACAGTTATGATTATTATTGTTACTGTTGTTGTTATTAGATACCGGAACCTAAACTATTTGTTGTCATTTGAAAAAAAAAAATAATTGTATGTATTATTACATATAAATAAATATAAATAATTGTATATATTATTATATCAACAATTTCCCTAAGGAACCCTACCAAAGGGATCAATAAAGCTCTATCTAATCTAATCTAATTTAATCTAATCTAATCTAATCTAATATTAGGAATTGAGAAATGGTACAGAATGTGTACCAATTACAGGTAACTACTACGATGATCAGAAAATGTGTTAATTTACATGTTGACTGTAAAAAACGGGGGAAAAACACCTACAAATGAGGTTGACTACATCTTTTTACAGCATTTGACCTTAAAATTCTACTGTTTTTACTGTGTTTAGATTTAAAAATGATGTTGTTGGCAGATAATTTATGTTTTTTTTAACAGAACAATTCTGTGAGAAACTGAGTAACATTTAAAAAGGAGCTGAAACTAAAGTGTGCTCAATGCATGCTTTTGTTTTATCTGGAATTTAACAAAACAGGAAAAAAAAAAAATCTCTAACATAACAGTAAACTGTAAAATGAATTTTTAAAAAACAACATTTAAAAGTGTCCCAAAATTTACTTTGACAGAAAGCTGCTTGCGATCACACTGGTACGGTCTCTAATGGGAACATGTGTTTGACTTTTCATTTATATTTCTTCACCCTCCT